ACTGTATTGCAGCAACACCATATGAATTGATTCATGGTTCTCGGTCACGAATTCCCAGAAATTGTTCGGGTTGAGGCGGTTGGTCTGGGGGTCTCTTCGTTGCGAGTGTATCATGTCGGGGAACTTGATAGGATCGCGGATGAAAAAGAAGGGAAAATTGAGGAAGACCCAGTCCCACTCCCCATCGCTGGTAAACAACTTGGTCGCCATGCCCTTCAGGTCCTGAACCCCCTCGGAGGAGCCACGCTCCAAACCAGTGGTTGAAAAGCGTGTTACCAAGGACGTCTTTTTGCCGACACCGAGGAGCATGTCGATATTACAAATGTCGGAGATGTCGTGGGTCACCTAGTCACCGAATTAACTTCCAATTCCAATTCAGGATTGGAACACGATTTAGATTGTACCTACCTCGAACTCCCCGTACGCCCCAGCTCCAAGAGCATGAACCACCCGCTCAGGGATCTTTTCGCGGTTGAAATTGGACAATACTTCCAAGGTATGGACATCTTGAGGGCCGGTGCTAGAATGGCCGGACGAGGGTGCTTTGCCCATGACTGGGCATTTCTTCGCGTAGTTGGGAGCCATTTTTTGCTCAATGTATTGGATGAAAGACTTCAGAGTGAACTGTGTCGTTGAGAACTCGGCTTTCTCCGGGCTAAATACTACTAAAATCCAGTATGCAGAGGTGTAAGCCCGCAGAGACTACCTTTTCTGACTATCGGAGATTTCCTTTCTATCTCTCTCTTGTTATCTGGGAACCCTTGCAAAGCCTGCATTGCATGGAGAAGAATATGGTCTTTTCAACTCCCAACGTTTCGTCACACTTTTTTGGCTGTAAGGGATGAATTGCATTCCATCTTGCGTCTAATCGAAATGTAGTTATATCCAGGATTTACATACCGTGTAATACCTAGTAATATAGCAGTACATACCCTAATCTGACCTCTGGGCATAGATAGCCCTTGGAATGGAAAGCGCATAACTAAAAAGGCTTGATTTGGGGAGACACGGGGATCAGGTCCTGAGTCTCCTGCATTTCTTTTTTTTTTCCTGTGCATTTCGATGTTACTATATTTTAGATAGACTGTAGACTTTATGCATCCAATTGCGAAATCTGAGTCGCAGTTTTGTCACCAACTCATACAATCACCTTTTACAGGGCACATTGATTGGATAGATGCAACATGTATGTTGTAATAATAAGTATTCCCGGTTTCACAGCCAACTTTTATATCGCCCATTATTGATTGGCGTCAACTGGCATCCCTTTAACTTCGGACGTAGCCGTACAGCATTCTATTTTTCCCTTGCATATACAATTAATTTACCCCATAAGAGGCTGAACTGTACATTTATCCCGCATAAACCAGATTTATCTGGATGCAGTAAGGTGGGTACTGAGTTTCACCATAAGCCTCTTGAGAAACTGATATCACATGAGAAGTTATCAATCTGTTGAATTTCATCATATTGCATAATAATATAGTTGGCTGTTCACCTCAAAAAAAAAGATACACAATTGCAACGTATCCAATATCTCAATTGGGACACATTTGGAGCTGGTAAAAAGTAACATCACAACCCTCAGCCGACCATTCTTTCACATCCGTCAATCCCGCCGACCCAAATAATACTTGACGCTCGTCTGTATCATACTTGTAGCTACATCCGAAACGAACCTTCTCATGCTTCTCGATAACGATGTCGTTCAATGGGCCCCCAAGTCTGACCTCCTTGCCCTTCGTGATGAGAGAGGCTTCGTGTCGGCCTAGCATATAGTTCCACTCACTCAGAAAGTACCAGTCGCTGGGCTGAAATACCTGGTCCCTCATTTTATTTGGAGCGAACAGGGTGTTTCCATAGTCCAGGGACGCTAAGGCAAAAGGAACGACGCCTTCAGCAGTGTAGGCGCGCAGCACTTTGGTTGGCATTTTGCAACTGTCCAGACTCAGGAGAATAGAGCTTTGAGCTGGGCTAGCGGCCAATGCGTTGTTTGCGATGTTCTGAAGAAACTTGGCTGCATTTGCCCGCGAATAGTTACCTACTGTCAGTCCAAACAATAGGAGACAGTGCGGCCGGTCCTGTACTCCCGGGGTATCTTTCAGCCACTGCACTCCATCTTCGAAAGTTCCATGAAGTGCACCAATTTTGACAAACTTGAATTGTTCGTATGGAAGGGACTGCAGCGTAGATTGAAGCTCCGAAAAACTCAGATCGAGCGCATAGAATGTAATGTTCTTCTTCGATGCCTCCAATGCTTCCAGTAACGGTAGAACCTTGTCCAGGCTTCTGTACAGCAGTGTTAGCTACCTCTTAAATAGGAATAGAACTATTCAGGTGATCATTTTACTGACGCGCTCCCAAGATCAACCACTACACTGTTGTTGGCAATCGACTCAACCATTTCAGCCGCTCGGGCGCGTAGAATGCGCAGCTCTTCATGTCGTGGATAGAAGTCGGCGGCAGTAGAGTGTTCAATCCAGTGCCGAATTCCTTCCCCGCTGTAGAAGAGAAGAGCTGGAAGAGTTTTGGGCGTCGCGGACAGCCCAGCCCTGACTTGATCGGGAATGGATTCCTCGAATGTGCTCTGACGTACGTCAATAATGCGTGAGTTGATGATAGTCATATTTTCAGTTCCTTTATTTTGCCAGAGGACATGAATTGTATCAAAAATTGATTCTACACCAGACTATCTGACGGCTCAGCCACATTTAATCCTCATCTCTGGCGGTGAGCACCTGAGCATCTTCGTGGTGTGCTCACCAAATATATCGATACGTCACATGTATTAAATGGGCAAGTGAGCTCAGCGTATCCATCGCCAAGTTTTTCAATGATCGTCGTCCCGTCCTGCACATGCCCTCCGAGTCCCATTCCTCACTACCCACTCCTAACTTGCTAATAAAAAGCCCCTCTTGGTCCCACCGTCGCTTCAGCTGTAACAGGCGGGTATAGCTCTGTCCCCAGTAGACCTGTTGGAACTCTTTTTCGTTCGGGTCCCCCACGTTACGATAGGATAACCGAAACCCTGGGTCAATGGCATAAAGCAAGGGCATGTGAATATTCGTAAGGTTTTGTAATGCACCTGCTTTTCCTTCAATAGTCGGCTCAACGGGTCGCACGAAGTTGATCAGCTGAGTAGCATTCCTCCAAGCTGGATGCATGGACGTCTCCATGAGGTCTCCATTTCTCATGACTTGCCCTCCGAGGTTACTGGTGAACAATAGATCGCCCGGCCGCATGGGGAGTTGGGCCAGACCCTCGGCCATGTATGTAGGCCCCTTGGAAGCATTGAATAAGTTGTTAGAAATGGCGACAGTGGACCCAAGAACACCGTAGTCGTTATCGGTGTGTATGTCGGGAACCTGTCGATAGTTCCTGCTGAGTTTCGGCAATGATGTTGATTCGTATGTCACATGAGTTTCAATGCGCCTCATATCCTCAACAAATGGCTGCATTCGTTGGTCGACATCCACCGTATTGGTTTGATCCAGAAAGAACATTTTAAGTTTTGCCTCAATAGAGTGTTCAGATATCACAGTGATGATCAGCTGCCCACCAACATTTTCACGGTTCAATGACTGCAGCACAGTGAAGAATGCAGCAAGGCTTCGAGAATATTTGCCGTGAGATTGGGATGTATGCACGCCGAGCTCAGCCGCAATAGCAGGGACGTCGGGAAAAACTCGCATAGTAGCTCGCGTAACAATTCCAAAAGTCCCACCTCCACCCCCCCGCAATGCCCAAAATAGGTCCGGATTCTGAATAGCGTTGGCCAGAACGATGTCTCCCTGTCAAGGTTAGAAACCCACGATATTTTATGACATCAGGCTCTGGTAGGCTTACGCTAGCGGTCACAACTTCAAATTCCAGAACGTTGTCCACTGCCAATCCATGGTGTAGACTAAGAAAATCTGAAATTCCTCCTCCCTGCAGGAATCCTCCTACAACTCCGACTGTAGGACAATCGCCACCAACAACAATGTATCCATTTTGCGCGGACCTTGCGTATAGGTCCCCCATCATGACACCAGCTCCAACACTCACAGCTGGACCGAAAGACTTTTCAAATCCGTGGAGCTGAAAATTTTCGTGGAATTTAATATCTTGCAGCCGGTGGGTATGGATCTGCAATGCATTGGGCGAGCTGGATCGACCCGCTAGATCATGGCCCGTGTTCCGGACGATAAGGCGAAGATCGTGGCGTTTAGCAAACATTACAGCTTCTTGGACATGCTCCGTGGAGTTCACCATTGCCGAGTACAGAGGAATGCGCCCTTGGTGGCATTGGGTACGACCCTTCATCTGAGATCCCAATGGGCATGCATCACCAGGGGATTGGCCAGACTCCCATACCCAATCCTGCAATGCACCTAGTTGATAGTCTCAGCTGAGGAATATTTTTGGAGGTACCTAACATGAGTGCCAGGCTTACCGGGTTGCGATGCCCTCCATCCACTGTCCCTTGACATACGCATCACATCCTCGCACAAGGGGTGATCGAGGCTATGGTTATAACAGACTGATGCAATGGGTTGTAACCTAACAAGAGTGAACTTTATCGATCTGTTCAGTAATTCCCACTGTTCATCAGACGGCCAACATGGTTCCCACGGCTGGCAACGACATGAAGACTGTAAGAAGTGTGTAAATATCAGCCAACTGAGAGCCATACCCAGCCCAGCAGTCCCCAGAAAATGAAACATCATCGCCGATTGGTGGTGGATTTTTATCAACAAAAAGAATGTGCATAGATGCGGTTCAGAATTCTGTAAATCCAACCCATTTTATGCTTGCATTCAGCTAAAAGGCGGTAGCCAGCCCTCTAGATTATTTGATAAGTTTCCAATATTACGGCCAAGTCCGACAGTAAAGCACAGGAACATAGTTCGGGCCTACCCGCAGTGTAGATGTGACGTATCGAGAGCTCCACTATATACGTGAAGGGTGAGAATGAACAGTATCTCGCCATATCTACGAGAGTGTCGATACAATCAATCATGATCAGCTGTATGTGTGCTTCCCTGCAAGTCTTTCACCCCTTGATTCTACGGTGTATCTTGCATATTTATCCTGATTTTCGTCATCTTCATGATCATCGACCATTCTATTCAATCTATAGCCGTATTCACTGTGGAAAGATATAGTGTCAGTTGTAGAACATATATACCGCTTCATTCTACAACTATTCTAATGTGTTAAGCAGCTGTCACTATGGGCTCCATTGAACCACCTAATGCTTCTAGCTGTCTTGTATACCAGACCATCACTGAGTTTGCAGACTTCCCCGACCACGATCAGAAGCTATGGTGGCACAGTACGGCACCTATGTTCGCAGAAATGCTCAAGGTTGCTGGATATGATATTCATTCTCGGTACAAAGCTCTCGGGTTGTACCAGAAGTTTATCATTCCTTTCCTTGGTGTCTACCCTACCAAAACCAACGATCGATGGCTCAGCATCCTGACTCGATACGGCACGCCTTTTGAACTGAGCTTAAACTGCACCCACTCAGTGGTACGATACACCTTTGAGCCCATTAACGCTGCCACTGGCTCCCTGAAAGATCCCTTCAACACTCATGCCATCTGGGACGCACTCGATACACTGATCCCTTTGCAGAAGGGCATTGATCTAGAGTTCTTCGCGCATCTGAAGAGGGATCTCACTGTCAACGACCAAGACATGGCCTACCTCCTAGAGAAAAAAAAAAGGTTGGGGGCCAGATCCGAACTCAAAACAAACTGGCCTTGGACCTGAAGGGTGGCGAGTTCGTATTGAAGGCTTATATATATCCCGCACTCAAATCTCTGGCAACCGGAAAGTCTGTCCAAGAGCTCATGTTTGACTCTGTTCATCGCCTTTCCCACCAGTACCCGACTCTCGCCGCGCCTCTCCGCAAATTAGAAGAGTATGTTCACTCTCGCGGAACTTCCAGTACCGCCTCTCCCCGGCTCATTTCTTGCGATCTGTGTGACCCACGTCAATCTCGGATCAAAATATACCTCTTGGAGCTGAATGTCTCCCTGGAATCGATGGAGGACCTGTGGACACTAGGCGGCCGACGAAACGATACCCAAACACTCGCTGGATTGGAGATGATTCGTGAGCTATGGGACCTGATCAACCTCCCCACCGGTATTCTCTCGTACCCGGAGCCCTATCTCAAGCTTGGCGAGGTCCCCAATGAGCAGCTTCCTCTGATGGCCAACTATACCCTTCACCACGACGACCCAATGCCCGAACCGCAGGTCTACTTCACGACTTTCGGTATGAACGATGGCCGGGTGACGGATGGACTAGCCACCTTCTTCAGACGTCATGGCTACACCCATATGTTGCAGACATACAGGGATAGCATGCGTGCTTACTAGTGAGTTGAGAACAATTCTATTCACTCAACTTATCTAACAAAATCTAGTCCTCATGTGGATCATGACACTGTCAACTATCTCCACGCCTACATCTCTTTCTCTTATCGAAAGGGGAGCCCGTATTTAAGTGTCTATCTCCAATCCTTCGAGACTGGTGACTGGCCAATCTGTGAGTCAAATTTCTACTCAAATTCTCATGATATTGTGTTTTAACGCGGTTTTCCCTGTTCTCTCATCCAGCCAGCTTCGGTGCCCCCATCCTTGAGCCTGTCTCTAAGAAGATGTGTCGTGGCCATCCTGTCTCTTTCGAGGTACCTTTGACAAAGCAGCAGGTGGTGGCCAGTGAGTGAAAAGAAACCAGATTTGGCGAGTTTCAGGCATAGAGATGTGACCAAAAGGACAACCACAAACGCGGATTCCACCATATCTCGGTACAGAGTTGATCCAGATGTTTTTCGAGGAGATGTGCAATCCAATTGATGACCGGTGTAAATTGCGAACTAGATGGTAGGAGTAGGTTAAAGGATTTGCTGGAATATATGTACTCTTGATCTTCTGAATATCGATGTCAGCTTTGAAATGATGCTTCAACGCCTAGAAATGGGTGTATGCGGAGATTTGTATGGTGGGAATAGCTTCATTTTTCTGGGGAACAGACTTTGCTTATTAAGCCCTCTGTCACATGCCCAGGTGGGGTCTAAAATAAGGCAGAATTCAGACACATTCAGGCATCAACCCTGCAAATCAGGCATATGACCTTTGGCAGCTCTGCCCTTTCGCACGCGGCCTAGAATGGGTACATACACGTACATATACAACCTAGATAGTAGAGTCGTTCGATTCTGAACTTTCGAAAATGCCCAATTCGCCAATCTGCGCGTTTGTACTACTCGAACTGATTGTTTTCCCCAGTCTTTACTTTCCCCTCTCACCTGAGAATTCATATAGTTCTAACAAATTCCTTCTTCTTGCTCTCCTCCATATCTCTCTTCACTGTTAGTACTCCATCATGCTTGAAGGTAAGTGTGTTCGCGGTGTTTTTGTTGTATGCGCGTTCTTGGCAGTTCAACTTGCCCCGGTCAAATTTTCCCGCTCTGCTTCTTATCTTTCAATCAACCCGATTCAAATTGTCGGAGCCCTGTGAAAAGTCCACGACCGCTTGTTGGATTAATTGTATCCTTGATCGTCTGTGTAATCCTGTCTTTCTCAGTCGGCCTTCCCTTCACCAATTCCTGTCATAACCCGCCTCCTACCTTTTCCCCTCCATGGGTGTCGCAAGACTCACCAGACGAAGCGGTCTCATTGCGCGCGCAGTGGGGGATTCCAAGTACTCACCGGGACCCCTGCTCACGGCGCAGTCTCTCGTGGCACGCAGCAAGATCGCTCTGTCCCCGCATCACACCAAGCCCTTCTCAACCTCCCCATCCCTATCCTGCGCGAGACACCAAAGCACCAGCGGAGAACCACCGTCGATCGCGGAACCACCTGCCAAGCCCAAGACCCAGACCAAGACCCAGACCAAGACTGACATTCCTGGTGCGGATCCCGCAGACCGATATGCAGCAGGCCTGCGCCTGAACAAGGAATGGGCTGCCCAGACAGCCCGCAACCAGCCCGAGCTCTTCCCTACCCTGGCCTCGGGCCAAACGCCGCAGATTCTGTGGATCGGGTGCTCCGACTCCCGCTGCCCCGAAACCACCTTCCTAGGCCTGCAGCCCGGCGACGTCTTCGTGCACCGCAACATTGCCAACATCCTCCACCCGGGCGACCTCAGCTCCAACGCCGTTATCGAGTACGCTGTGCAATACCTGCGCGTCAGCCATGTCGTGGTGTGCGGGCACACATGCTGCGGTGGTGTCTCGGCTGCCATGGGCAATAAGAACTTGGGTATTCTGGATCCGTGGCTGTTTCCCCTTCGTCAGCTGCGCGAGCGCAACCTGGAACTTCTGCAGTCAATGCATGCTGAAGAGGCGTCGTCGAAGCTGGCTGAGCTGAACGTTCGCGAGGGCTTGAACATTGTCAAGCAGAAGAGTGTTGTGTTGAACGCGATCCGCGACCGGGGACTGCAGCTGCATGGCTTGGTTTACGATGTTGGATCCGGTGTGCTTAGTGAGCTGGACACGCAGGACTCGGAGGAGGTTATCAGGGCTCGTTTGACGGCTTTTCAAACGGAGTGAGTTGGCGGGGTTTTTTCGGGCTTGGGACTTTTTCGGCCGAAGGCCACGGGATGTACGGAGTAGCAGAAGCGAGACTTGCGGAGTAGAACATTTCTGGATAGCGACAGTGTGCATTTGATGAATTGATGATAATTGTAAACAAAATTTTCTTTTTTTTTGTGGCCTGGAGGGATCTCTCATTCTCTCAGAATGTAAACATGATGGCATGATGTGTGGGTAGCCGATGCGATGAAAAGACCAATCAGAGGAGACGGTGAGGTTATACGAAGTATGTCTGCCAAATTGGGAGGAGCAGGTATCTTTTGTATAGCAACTCCATACAAAAGGGTACATACACATCTAGACACGATTAGGTGCATGATCCCACATCTACCTATATATGTGCATAGCCTTGCTTGTCTTAGGTTTCTTATTTTCAGTTCTGTTTGTATTCTGCAATATGCCAGTGATCCAAGGCCTAGATGGTGTAACCTCCACCGTTTGACTCTTCACAGTCCTTTACCGACAATAGTTATAGACAAAAAATGACATCAGTACCATGTTATAGAAACAAGGTTATCAAATATACAGGCAGAAGCAGGCAGATGGTGTAAATCGTACCAAAGGCGTGTCTCATACACTCAGGCGGACAAGCATATAAGGGTAATCCTTCCCACGTCAAACCTTCCACCATCCACCTTTCTTCTCTGAGTACTCTTCTCACTGAAACTTCTGATCCCCTTCCAGTTCCTCTCACTTGACATCCATGATGAAGATCGAAATCTATGATGGAGTTGGTGGTAAGTCTATATTCCTTCTGACATTTGACCTATCATTCACATGCTAACGGTCAAAGCTGTCGATGATAGCATCACAGAACCCGAGGTCCAAGAGATCCAGTTTGAGCCTGAGGGCACCCTCTGTGATGTCCGCACCCTCTACCAGAAAAGTTCCGATGGTTGGGGCCAACCGGTATGGACCAAAGAAATGCCCATCGACTTGCCCGCACCCGTCTTGGATGCAGAGTCAGCACAATACGCACTCCTCACGAAGAAGGTGAAGTGCTTCGATGGACGCAGGAGCTTGTCGATTCATTCCGTTGTTGTGCAAAGCGAGCGTCTCAAGGAGTTCTTGAAAGAGGCACTGAAGGGTTATCCTAGTGTCGCCCTGACCTTGGACCGCCCCGAATTCTGCTCGCCTTTCCGGGCTTTCGTTCATCGATGGGAAGAAATCACCAAACTGCGGGACGAAGTGCAGGATCCAACAACCAAGGCACATGTGGATATGTTCTACCGCATCATGGACGAGGAGCTCAGGGATGTCATCGACAGCAAGAATGAGCTGGTTGCCAAAGGGGTCATCACTTTTGAGTTGGTTTGGACAATCATCAAACCGGACGATGTGGTCCTTTCTTCGGCCAAGGAAGGGCTCCGTGCTTATTCGTCCACACGCGGATCGTCGGACGGTGAAGGATCGCCAATTGATTATTTCCAAGCCGAATACGTCGAGTTCGACGGAACCAAGTTCGGATACAACACCACGGATTTCATGATCCCCCGATTTGAAGGCGCTATGCCAATCACCTCGTTGACTATCTTCCCCCTCAGATTCCACCCCGCGAAGGAGGCGGTCCAGGAGATGTTGACTGCACGGGGCAAGAAGTGGGAAGCCCTCAAGGGGTACCATTTCAGATCATATGATTCTTCAACCAGCACGAACTCCAACGGTCATGTCAAGAATCGCGTCATCATTGACGCCCAGGCATACAACAAGTTTGCGCACCACAAGACAATCAACTTTGATAAGGAGATTGGTGAAGAACTGGATGATGCACAGCGCCTCATTGCAACCCCAATGCTCAACGGATATGCCCTGAATGACAAAAAATGGCGTTCGTTCCACGTGGATCATGTGCAAGACATTGATTGGGATGAGCAGGCCTTTGAGTCACTGGTCCTACCGCGGGAGCAGCGGGGGTTCAAGGACGTCATCTTGGCCGTCGTAAAGGCCCAGTCCCAGAAAAAGGATACATTTGACGACGTCATTCGGGGCAAAGGCCAGGGGTTCATTGTCCAGCTCAGCGGTCCTCCAGGTGTCGGAAAGACCCTGACTGCGGAAAGTGTTGCTGAGGTCATGAGGGTTCCTATTTATGTCATGAGTGCCGGCGACCTTGGAGTCGAAGCCAAACGCTTCGAGTCAAAGTTGAAAGACATCTTGGAGCTGGTTCCCAAGTGGGGTGCTATTCTGTTGCTTGATGAGGCTGATGTCTTCATGGAAGCCCGTGATTCCGCCAATCTCGATCGCAATGAACTTGTCTCACTCTTCTTGAGAACTCTTGAATACTACGAGGTAAGCTCTGAATCTGGGGGAAACGCACAAATGACATGTTACTGATCTTCTATATTTCTCTCCAGGGTATTCTCTTCTTGACCACCAACCGTACGCAGAATATCGATCCTGCCTTCGATTCTCGCGTCCACCTTTCCATCGCCTACAAGGATCTCGATGCGGAATCCAGACACCAGGTTTGGGGACAGTTCCTCAGCCGCTCGATGAACATTGAAGCCATCACGGATGAGCAACTTGACCAGGTGGCCAAGTTGCAATTGAATGGCCGCCAGATCAAGAATGTGATCAAGACCGCTGGTCTTCTAGCTTGTTCCAAGGAGCGTGAGATTCGATTTGAAGATCTGCAGACGGTGCTTGCTCTGAGAAATTTGCAGAAGTGATGCCTGGTGAGACAAGGGGGCATATTCCGTACTTCATGATGTGAGTGAGATGGTAGCTAGTTAGAAACATTCATAGACTTGATATTTGAAATCAAAAAAAAAAAAAAAGCATTATTTTATGCGCAATTTTGTGTCTGTAAAAGGCGGACCGGTGAATTGCCTCTTGGTAGTTTTAGCTCCCTGTCCTCCGTAACGTTTGTAACATGGGGCTAGCGGTAACGATGGAGGATGAATACTGTTATTTTTCATTCTTGATACAGATGGATCACGTGGCTTGACCAGGATTCTTTAAAACAGGCCGAAACGTTTGTTTTGATTACTACAAGATCGTGATTTCCGGACTAGTTATAACATAGTATTGCGATTTTAGAGAGTTAGAGACTTATTGGGATTATTATGCCACGTACACACTCGCATTACCACCATTTTTCTGTCGATCTCATCTCTTTACCACCCACCGCCTTGTCTGGTTGTAAACTGGTGGGCTGGTACTCGCTAGGCCACAGACGTAAAGCATACACATTTTCATAGACACCTGCGGCAGTGTCAGATGGATCCCCTGAGGGTGAGGGACTGTTGGCACATAACAGCTTGACGAGGATATGGCTGGTGAGTACCACACTTCCCAGCTTCTGCATATCCCGCAGAGGTTGCACGATCATGCGCCAAAGCTCTCTTTCCTTAGCAGTGGCCGCTGTAAGATCATGCTCATCGATCCAGGGTGTCTTGAATTCTCCAACCAGCTTGATTTCGGTTGTGCCATTTGCGTCTTGGGTTCCTTCTGGCGGATGATCCAGGATTTTGATCCGTAGGAATAGTTTCATAGACCCCACTGGAAGACGGATCCTATCCGGGGTGGTGAGTCGTCTTGGCGAAGCAATTGGTCCTGAAGGAGCGATAGGTCATTGACCGCAATGGTAGTCTCCTGATTTAGCCCTACAACGTCGGGGATGTTGGCATGTACTTCCTGAGTACTTATAATCCTCAAAGTAGATGTCGATTGAGTGGTTGTCCAAGGCTGTCCCAAGCGCATGGCCTATGGCCTGTTGGAAACTGCCCTGGAGACCGGGCTCATCAGTGATGTACGCCCGCGTCCGTCACCATTACCAGTCAGAGCTATCACGCATCCAGTTCACCCTGCGAGCTGGCCTCACCAATCTCCAAATTGCGTATGTCACATCGGATAATGGTGTAGGATCCAAGGTATCGGGATCACGGAATCCAGAAATATGCCTAGAAAGCATTAGCTCACCATTATCGATGTTTGTAGGCTGTCATAGCCACCTACATAGACTTAGTGGCCTCATCATAGATGAGTTTCCTCAAACAGCAAATTGCCGGTGCCCATACATCCTTTTGTAACTCTCTTCTTGATATTAGCACTGGTATATAAAGGGAGTATATATGAGCTTACCTATAAGTAGCGCGGAAAACGGAACGTACCTCCTCCCGGTATGCGAGGTCACGTTTCCAGTAAGCAACAGAGTTAATCGGCTCACCGGCCACCCGCGTCCACGCGATATAATTGATATAACCTCCAGGGACGTAGTCTCTTACACCTTGCACCCGGTTACCATAACCAAGTAACTTTGGGACTGCAGTGCAGTTCTTGTGATAGAGACTTGTGAGAACCTTGACTTCCGCGTGGGTATGCTGAGTGAGAGCTTGGGGGGAGTGATAAATAGTACCGTCAATCGGAATTTGATAGTAGAACCGTATAAAGCCCTGTTGGGTGGGGTCGAGGAGGTTATGGCATGAGAACTTGAGTGCCGTAAACGGATGGCCGAGGTCATCATCAAATTCTTCCTGTGTCATGATTTGGAATTCTTCGGACAATATATCATCGAGGACAAACGTCGCACTAGGTGAGGGGGAAGAATGTTCAAGCGTGACTTCAGTACCGCATAGATAATCAAAATCTCCTAGTCGAGACATTATGATGAATAGAGACATAAAAGTGCGAGATAAGAGAAGTGAAAGAGAAGTGAAGTGCAGAGAGAAGAGAAGTGAGAGAGAAGACGAGCATAGCATATCCATGGATGGAATATAGATTGGTAATTAATGCCTTAGATGTCAACCCTCTATCCGTATTGACCGTATTGAAAAATGCAGGTTCAACTTCTGTATTGCTGTATCGACTCCTAATTTGACTTCGTAGTTCGTTAACTAACCGGCCTTTGCATTTTTTTACAAAAATTACAGACCCTCCTACGATATGTTTTGCAGATGACCACTCGCTACTTACCCAACATGGAGGATTGATAAATTCTCTGGTACGCCGGCGTCTTATACTAGTCTGGGAAGACTATGTAAGTAGTCTGAGGACCGAGTAGTATAGAGCTTCTCCAAGAGGGCAAGGAGTAACGGTATCTTCGGCGTAATTATTCTCTTATGCACACATGCAAGTTGCCGAGACCTCCGCTTGCCGGCTAAGCAGGCAACACCCAAACATCCTCAGCCAAGACATTGACATCTCCCATCAATAATGCAATCTTGGCAGAACTTGGAAACCAACGAAATAATCAATCTCATCTCCAGTTTTCCAATACTTCCGGCAGGCCCCGGGGGTGGCCCTTCTCCCCCTGAACCACATCTAGAACATATAGGGCTACGGGGCTCTTCGTATTCGCATAAGCAGACGGCCCACTCCGGTCCATACATGCGTTATGTTGCCCTCTGCAATACGACAACAACATGGCCTCTTAAGGCTGAACGAATGACATTTCCCCGGAGCGCCGATCATCGTCGAAAAGCAGGGTACACAGCGCCTAAACACCACATCATGACACCCCAGGGCTGAGCAAAGACCCCCTTCAGGTCCACCTTGTGTTGGCTAGTGCACCCGCACGATCCGACCATTTGACAATTATAGCCCTGGCACAACTCCGATAGCATGTTGTGGAGCCGAGTCAAGATCTTTGTCACCCTATTTTTTCCCTGTTTTCCCTTTGTTTCCCCCTGCCCCTTACATGGTATAAGTATAAACGGATTGAAAAACAGTCCGTGTTGAAAGATTTCCTCATGTTGGCCGCTTAAGCGCTGGGCCATTATGATTGTCACTCGTTTTCATCATCCGCAGCGCTTGATTTTGTCGATTTTGGTGCTGTCCGGTCTCTGCTCCAAGTTGCTGCACATATACCAGCATCGATCGCTTCCTCTATACCTTTTGGCGATCTATTTCCCGACATTCTTTATTCAGGAGGTCCTGTTATTCGTTGCAGTATGGATTCTCTTGTATACAACCTCCGGTCGGTGGGCAGTAGCCGCCGTTATCGGTTCAGCGATTATCGCGTTGGTTCACCTTTTCCGAAATGCGACGCGCAACGATATTGACTTCTACCCTCAGATGCACTGATCTACTAGCAACCGCGTCGCAGTTTAGTTTCTATTCTCAGACCGGCAGCGAAATTCAATGGGATGCAGCCAGGTCCGTGGGCGCCAGTCGACAGGGACAGAAGTTGATATTGAGCGGACTGGTGCCAATGGCTGCCACTACAACAGTTATCGTCGTGGCTTCGTGGCTTATGACCCAAGGAATCTGGGATCTCATGACCCGCTGGCTATGCTCCCTCGCCCATCTCGGAGACGCCAAGACTTCCGCCGTGTTACCCGGCCCCTCAGATTTGAGAAATATACTAGTGTCAAATCGACCTCGGCTTTGGACGCTTGTGGGGAGTGGAGTCACGATCGGACTTTGGCTGATTCGCCCGGCAATCCCATACAATCACATGACTCGAGCTCTGCCCTTCACCATGCTGGGCGAACACTCTCGGGCTCGTCAGATGACCATCGAAACATTTCCGCTACCGGAATTGCTAGCGGAGCGATATCGAGAACCGGAAAATGGACACTACAAGGGGTGGGCACCGACATTGGACGACTCGGGTAACACTGCCTATGGAAATAATAAGCCAGCCTGGGCGCAAGGCCCTCTTCCTGCTGCATTCGAGAGATGGATTGTGAATCCCGATTCAAACACGGCCGACTCGACCATTCAAAGCCTGTCCAGGAGAGGCGGAAACGAATCCCACTCTGAAGGCCAGAACAAGACAGCTGGACCGCGACACTACTTCTATAACCCCGTTCAAGATCCCTTGAGGATAAACAACCTTGACCTAGAACCACTTGGTCCTCTGCAGGAGGCTCTGAAGGACCATGCCATCCCAATCAACCACATCGTCTTTGTGTTTTTGGAAAGCGGCAGAAAGGATCTGTTCCCCCTCAAGAACGATTCTCGATTGTACGGCCAAATCCGGGAATCATATGAATTATACGGAGAGGAGGATGAAGCCGACCTGCACGACAAACTATCCCAGTTAACCCCCGTCGCAGAGATGCTTACAGGGGAGCCATCCGGCTTCGGCGCCTCGGTGAACTCACCAAATCCCGGACTAGGTGGGCTCAGCTTCGACGGGATAGTGTCGGGGAGCAGTCTCTCTGCGAAATCGCGTCTTGTCAACTACTGCGGTCTTGGACCGCTCCCCGTGGACTTTATGCACGAAAATGATATCATCCCATACCAGCCGTGTTTGATGCACATCATGGATCTATTCAACCAGCGCAAGAATTCTTCTAGCTCTAGGAATTCCACCGACAGTCACCTGGAGCGGGAATGGGAAACCATCTATGCGCAGTCTGTCACTGGGGAGTTCCAGGAGCAGACTCGGCTTATGGATCTGCTCGGTTTCAACAAGACATTGTATTCGGAGGACATTGATGTGGAGGAGGCGAAGTATTTCCATGAGGATATGGAAAAAATCAACTATTTCGGGTATGTTATCGCGCAGTATTCCCAGCAACTTTCCTCGTGTGTAAATACTGACTTTGCATAGTTATGCCGAAACCGAGGCCCGCCCCTACATCAAAGACTTGATCGACGAAACGCTTCGTCAGAACAAGAGACTCTTCCTTTCGCATTTCACCAGCACCACTCACCACCCTTGGGGTACACCCGAGGGCTGGAACCGAGAGCACTATTTCGGTGATCTCCACAAATCACAACACGAACTCATGGATGATTTCCTCAACGCAAACCACTTCGTCGACACATGGCTCGGCGACTTAATGGGCCTGCTCGGAGAAGCTGGCATCGCCAACGAGACCTTGACAGTCTTTGTGGGAGACCAGTACGTGCAATTACCCACAAGTGACCAAAGAACCTGATATCTAACCAAGGAAACAGCGGCCAAGCATTTGGAGAAGACTGCCCCATCACAGGAACCTACCACAACCCACACATCAGCAATTTCCGCGTACCCCTAATATTCCACCACCCCCTACTACCCCGCATGCACCTTAATGTCAACGGCAGCGCCGTATCCATCCTGCCGACGATCCTCGATCTCCTGGTGAACACCAACTCTCTCAACGCAGACGACACCGAAATCGCCCTAGATCTGATGAATGAGTACGAGGGCCAGTCCCTCATCCGCCCGTACCGCACCTCGCACAACGGCCGCGAAGCCTGGAACATGGGTGTTATCAATGCGGGTGGCTCTATGCTGAGCGTTGCCTCCGCTGCTGTGCCCTGGCGTCTCAACCTGCCATTGAACAATGACTTCGAGTACCACTTCACAAACTTGAAGACGGACCCGTATGAGCTTGAGCCTATCACCGGCTGGACTATAGACTCTCTTGCTGCAGAGGTCCATTCCAAGCATGGACAGGAGGCATTTGAATGGGTTCAGAAGGCTGAGAAAGTTGGCCTTTGGTGGGTTGCGGAGCGGAAAAAGCTCTGGAATTATAGTGATCCTGATGAGTGAGGGGTTGTTTATGACGGTGGATACCTCATGTTTTTCTTTCTCTTTTTGGTCCTTGGAGCGAACTTGCATAGCATACATCCTGGGGTATATGTTTTATTTTTGAAGCTGTGGGATAGTTTGGTTCCCTAATGGCTTTGTATAATATTCGGGTTGGTAGACCTGCTGTATATAAAAAATATATGAATTTTGCCTTTTTTCTAAGATTCCAAGTAGACACCTCAATCATCAATCAGGCCTATTTATCTTGGTTCATATTGGTTTCCTTAATCGATAGCACTTCTCCCCTGACTAGTAGATTTCTTTAAACATCATTGGGGTATGTTGGCGACCAGAGTATGGAATCTGTAATGCTATTTAGAATATTATTTATATTTCTCCTTCCAGTTCACAAGTGAGCATATCAGATCCGATAAGAAGGGTCTTTCTGATCCAAAAGCCTCATATAAGCAGACATCTCCTTCAGTCCAAACTTAGACCCCGAAAACCCCTTCTCTCGGGTGGCATTCCAAGTTCTCTCAATTTTGATCTCCTCTGGCTGAATCAGGTTCCCCTTGTCCCCAAGCGCACACGCCGACGCATGAGATTGTATCTCGGAAGCAGCCAGCAATTCATACATCAAATACCAAGCAGCACTAATCGTCTCTGCAGCTGTGATGACACCATGATTCCGAAGAATCATGGTATCGGTCGAGCCAAGATCCTCAGCGAGACTCTTCTGCTCCCCACGGTTCGTCACGATACCTTGGTAGTCATGGTAGCTAACAGGGCCAGCCTGGTGCGTCGTCTGCGCCAACTCCAGCAGTCCATCCTTAGTGCATGCCAGTCCTGTCGCAGGAGGATAATGGCAGTGCATAACGCTTGCCACGTCCGGCCGAGCGCGGTGAATGGCACTGTGGATTACCCATCCGGCGTCGTTAATACCGAACGTGTCTCCTGTCACACCGTGGTCCTTGATCTTGCCGTCCGCGCCGACTTTGATCAGACTTGATGCCGTGACTTCTTCATACCGGAGACCGAACGGGTTGATGAGGAACGAGTCGCTGCCATCTTCTTCCTTAACTTTCGCGGTGAGGTGGTTGTAGATGTTCTCGTTCCAGTTCTTGAGTTCGAAGAGGCGGTAGGCGGCTGCAAGTTCGATTCGAGACTTTACTTCTTCGTCGGGGAGCCATTTGA